CACCCTCTTGGGTCTTTTTAAACAATTCGTTCCCCATGAGGAGATATGACAATGCTCTGTATTTTGTCTTTCTATCCATGTTTAGAGTTGGGTCTGCTAAATAACTCTTCAGTGGACTTCGCCAATCTGCATCTGACAAAGTATTTATGGCTAATATTTCGAATCCCTGTTTCTCAGCATATCCCAATTTCATACTTTCCAGATCCGATGGTGTAAATCTAGTAGCCATAACTCTACCCCTTAATTCAACCAAATCCTTAAAGTTCTTGGTAGACACTTTATAACCCGAAGCCAAATGCGCTAAGTCATTTGCTTCTTGGTTCTCTATTCTTGGTATGTGTTGAATATCCATGTATTCAAATTTCCTCAATAGCCTATTGACTATGACGAAGTATACCATTAAGTTTTCCTTTATGCACTTATATTCCTTTGTGATTTGTTTGACCACTAATTCAGAGTCTCCTTTAATTTCGACTCTGGTTGCCCCCAATTCCAACAAAGCTTCAAGTCCAACAATGAGCGCTTCATACTCAACTTCGTTGTTCGAGCAACGAGGACCATCTAATTTATACTTGAATTTTGTTGGAATTCCTTCAGGAGAAATCAGAAGGACTCCAACGCCACTTCCATTCCTGTGGGTTGAACTATCAAAGTACAATTTCCATGGTTGCATTTCGACGTAACTCATGACAGTCTGCTCAACCAACGAATGGTCTACAATGAAGTCAGAAATCACTTGACCTTTCATAGCTTTTAAAGGCATGAAAGTCAAAGAATATTCTGTTAAGGCTAAATCCCATTTACCAACTCTGCTATGCATTATTGGTTTTGAAAGCATATGTTTAATAACATCGAAATGAGATGAAACATAAACATCAACAGGTTTTATATAGTACTTGAGTTTCATACAAGAGAAATACAAACAGAGACATAGCTTTTCTAAATTGCTATATCTGGTCTCTGCATCATTTAGCACTCTACTTAAATAGTATATGGCTCTTTCGATGCCATTGTTATCTTCTTGTGCTAGCATACTACCTATACTAACTTCAGAGGCAGATATGTACAATCTCATGGGCTTCCCCCATGAAGGTGGAAACAAAATAGGAGGCTGAGAAAGGTATTCTTTTATCCTGTCAAATGCCTCCTGGTGAGCTTCGTTCCATTCGAAGGCTTGGCCTTGCTTTAGACGAAGTAACGGAGAGAAAGCTTGGGTTCTTCCACTCAGGTTCGAAATGAATCTTCTGAGGAAGTTAATTTTCCCTAGCAGAGATTGCAATTCCCTTTTTGACGTAGGTGCTTTCGTCTCCATTATGGCTTTGGTTTTGTTCTGGTTGATTTCAATCCCTTTCTTGTGAACCACAAAACCAAGAAAATCTCCAGCCTGCACAAAAAATGCACATTTAAGGGGATTCATCTTTAAGCCATGTTTTCTCATTCGCTCGAATGATTGGCTCAAATGATGCAAATGTGTTTCTGCAGATATAGATTTGATGACTATATCATCAATATACACCTGCATGAAGGTTTCAATGAAATCATGAAAAATTGAATTCATTGCCCTTTGATAAGTTGCCCCAGCGTTCTTTAAACCAAAAGGCATCACCACCCATTCGTAGGTGCCTAAGGCTCATGGGCAACGAAATGTTGTCTTTGCAACATCTTCTTCAGCAATGAAAATCTGATTATACCCAGAGTATCCATCTAACATACTCAAGTATTCGAACCCTGCAGCAGAATCTACTAGCATTTCTGCCACAGGCATGGAATATTCATCTTTAGGGGTTGCAGTGTTTAAATCCCTAAAATCTATGCAAATTCTTAAAGAACCATTTTTCTTAATAACAGGTACTATGTTTGCTAACCATTCGACGTACCTTGTTGTTCTGATGAATTTGCAATGCAGCAACCTTTCGATCTCAACTTTAATTTTTGTGAGAACCGCTGGTGCGAATCTTCTGGGAGTTTGTTTGATGGGCCTCTTGCCATCTTTGATTGGAAGTCTGTGTTCGACCAACTCCCTCTTTAAACCAGGCATCTCGTCATAATCTCATGCGAAGCAATCTTTATTATCCTTGAGGACTTCGATTACTTCCTTCTTGAGGCCTGGGCTAAGTTTTGCACTTATGTAGGTTATTCTTTTCGTTTTTTCATCCCTTAAGCTGACTTCTTCGAGTGGATCTTGTGCCAACATTTTGGCACCTGAGTTTACGGGGTCCCTTTCGAAGCCTAAGGGTTCTTTATCATAGATGGCATCCAACCTTTGATCCATCTCAAACTCTTCAAAGGGTGAGAATTTCGAACCATCCCCACTTACTTCGTTCATCTTTATAGTTGATTTATTTATTTCAGCCTCTAAGGCCGCTTTTGATTCGTTCTCAGCCATATAGGCCGAAATCCTTTTGAAAAAAGTGGACTCAGTCATGGATAAGGTTGTCGAAGTCCCAGCCTGCTGGCCGTTTTTGTATAGTGCTTTCGACTCCCTCTTCTTCACTGATTATTGTTCTATCCCAGTAAAGGCCATCATGGTGAAGGGTCATGTAGTAGTGGGCGTTTCTGGTTTCATTAATCTCATCATTTGGAACACACGGAGCAATCTTTGCCAGATTTTTATCATAATCCCTCTTGTCAACTAAATTGACCGTTGACATAAAGTAACTCTGGTCTGCTTCGATGTTTTCCACGATTCCATCATCTCTCCACAGAACTAGTCGCTGGTGCATTGACGAAGGAACTTCCCCCACGCCATGGATCCACTCCCTTCCCAGCAATAAGTTATAGTTGGCCTTGGCTTCGATCACCATAAACATGGTGGGCCTACAGCTTGAGCCTATTGTCAATTCCAACTGGACCACTCCCAGTGTTTTGCCCACTTTTCCCTCATAATTGGACAGAACCATATTATGGGGCTTGATGTCTCCTTCGCGGATCTCTAATCTTTTTAGCATGAAATGGGGTATCAAATTTACTGCAGCACCCCCATCCACTAGAACTTTGTTCACACCATGGACACCAACTTTCTCCCGAATAAAAAGTGGCTTGAGATGGTTCTTCATAGCAGGTTCTGGACGTTCGAAGAACACATTTTGTTCCTCAACAGCCCCATTGTCCATCACATAGTAGCACACAGGCCTATGTTTCATCAAATATGTGGTGTCTTCCTCCTCATATTCATCGATTTCGGTTTCCTGCCCAAATTCGCAGGGGAGCACACACACCACGTTACAGTTCAGGTTGAATGAAGACTCCCCCTCCGATTCGAAGTTATCTGTTATCATATCTTCGTCCTCTTCTGGGCCTGGAGTGTATTCCTTTGGTTCATCGCGTTGTACTTCAGAGAAAAGCCTCCTATTGACTGGAGGTTTGTCTTCAGTTTGATTTTTTGGTTTGTTGGTGCTAGATTCACCTTGGTTCTTTGTTGAAGTAACCCCTTTGTTTGCCACAGCTTCCCTCTCAGCCTTTCGAACCCTTTGCTGTCTGCGCCACTGGGATCTTGACATGGGGTTCCTTCCTTTGTAATTTTCTAATCTCACCTCCTCCCTTTTTGCTGTGTTGAATTGCCTCCTGTATGTCACAGCATGGCGTGCATTTCGTTCGACGTTTCTCCATCTATCTTTGCCTTTGTCATTTCTGACCTGTAACCATCTATCGGTTGGCACTTCAGCAGGGAGTTTGAAAGTCACTCTTCGAGCAGCCTTGGGGTGAGGGCTATCAGGCCTTCGCTGTTTGTGTCTGCTGTCGAAACATGGACCCATCTGGACAGTTTCTTGATGGTTCCAGCAAGGGGCGAAGGGAATCGTTTCGAAGGCTCTGGCCATGCTTTGGTCATACATAGCAGAACACCTTGGGCAAATCAAGCACTTGGTTGCCCCTTTGTAGTAGCGAAACACAAATTTCAGCAAACTTTCTCCAGCCTTGGGATAACACCTAAAAAGCTGGTTATCCTGGCGCCAATTGTTGCCAATTCGAGTCCTCTGTACCCTTTCGAAATTCGCAGCGATTCTTTGATTGCAGAGGATGCTGCACCTAGGGCACAATATCATGCCTGAATCTCCTTTGTGGCATGTCATGAGGTAATCCTTGAGACTAGCATCTCCAGTGTGATTATCCTCCATTCTATACTTTTCTTTTTCTAAGTATTTTTCTACTTCCTCCATCTCAGAGCGAGGCCTCTCCATATCCACCATATTTATTTCAACATCTTCCCCCTTAGCTTCATCATCGCCCCATCCTGTGGGCTTTATATCCTTAATCCGAACCTTCGAACTCTCTGGGGCAGAATATTTGACCAAATAGTCAAATTTTCCACTGGGTTCCCCTAGAGTGTCCCATATTTCCTTATGAGGGGAAATTGGCTTCGTGATTTGGACTTTCTCCAATTCCAGCCTCAAGCCTTCAGTGACTTGTGTTAGTTCTTGGTTTTGATTTCCCTGGCCTTCAGTAGCCTGGGTTTCTCTTGCAACAGCTACAGGTGCGGCAATTGAAGTCTCTGGCGTATTCTGGATGTCTTCAGTGACCTCCTTATTGACTTCGACCATCACCCAGTTTTCAGTTTCAGTACCCTTCTCTCCTGTTAGGGCGTCGCTCTGATCAGTTTCCACCATGTTGATCTCTCCAATGCACGCAGGCTCGGAGTAGTTGGTGTCTGCGACATCCAAGGGATCTTCGTCCACTTTCATCTTCACCTTATCAGCAAACTTTAGTCTGCCATCTTTGATCGCGTTTTGAATTAGGTCCCTGAAAAGAAAACATTGTGAGGTTTTGTGGCCTAGGAAACTATGATATTTGCAAAATCCTCTCTTCTTTCTCTGATCCAAAGGAGGTATTTTGACATTTGATGGCACAATTAGTTGGCCATCTTTGACAAGTAAGTCAAAAATCTCGTCACATTTAGTGACATCGAAGGTATAAACCTTCTTTGGGAATTTGTCACTTTTCTCATTTTCAACAATCTCTTTCCCTTTTGTGGGAACCAATAATTTGCAGGAATAAGGCGGAGCCTATTTTAATTCAGCGAGGTCGATTTCGACCTCTTCGAATTCGAATTCAGGATATTCTTCTGCTTCCTCAGTCCTAACATAGGAAATCCTTTCTTTCTTGCTATTCTTAAAGACTCTGGCTTTTTCGGCCTTTAGCCTTTCGACCTGTCGAACCCTATCGGCTAACTGAGCCATATCCCTCAAATATTGAGTGTCTAGTTTCTTTCGAATAGAATAATCCAAGCCACCAGCGGCCATTTCGACTAACTCATATTCAGGCACTACTGTGTAACATTTGGATTTCAAAAGCCTAAATCTATTCAGATAATCATCTATGGGTTCGGTGAACTTTCTCTTAACACTGGCCAATTCCTTTCAAGCTTATTTTCGACTGTCCCATGTAAAATTGTTCATGGAATAATCTCTCCAAAAGAGCCCAAGTATCAATGGACCCAGGAGGCAAAGTGGTAAACCATGTGAAGGCGTTTTTAGTTAAGGAACTTGGGAAGTATTTGATCCTGAGATCTTCATTATTGGCTATATCTCCCGCTTCGGTTAGATATCTCGCTATGTGTTCGACTGTTGACTCATTGGTATCCCCAGCGAACTTTGTAAATTTAGGGACTTTATATCCCCTTGGTAAATCAGTATGCATTATGCAATCCAATATAGGAGAAGCATAATTTGGCCTTCTCATTCCTGTGTTGAGGCCATTCTGGGCCATGACTCTCTCTATCATGGTGGTTAGATTGTTTTCTGCCAAGATGTTATCGTTTCGAATTCTATGAACGACAGCATCGGCATCTTGATTTCGACCAACCAAGACAACTCCCCTAGGTTGTTCTTCTCGAAACTCTGGGGCTTCTAGCCTTTCGACCCTTGCCCCTGGTTCCATAATTTCTCTTTGTGGGCCTGGGATCATTGGGGCTTCTAACCTTGGTGCCCTGGCCCCTAAGTTAACTTCTTCTCTGGGTGGTCTATAAATTGGGTCGTTAGCAATTTGTTCTATAACAGGCATGTTTGCTCGAAATCCCGCCTGATTCTGCCTACGCCTTTCTGGGGGAGCAAAGAAATCTGCTATTCGACTCATGTTGTCAGTGTTTTCCCTGTTTGTCACAGTCACATTTTGCACTATTGGGACAAATATCTCCTGCATGGTTTGTGCTAACACCCCTATCATATTATGGTTACTGTCATCCATCAATTGCCTAAAAGCCAACTGGTTTTCTGTGGTTAAGATAGGCATTGTGCTATAACCCACTGACCCTTGGTTATTTGTCATAAACTGATTCGCCCCAGACCCAGACCCTAGTTGTGGGGATGAATTCGATGTGGAATTGTGTAAACCTACCATAAAAGATGTTGGCATTCCATAAGAGGAATTTCTGGTTCTATTTCCATCGAAACCGGGTGGTCTAGTTAATGGAGTGGCGAAATGGGATTGTGTCCCTGATGGTGGAACGAATCCCCCAGGGTAACCAATGGTTCCAGTATTTCCTAAGATCGAACTATTAGTTGATATGCCACTTGCTCCATTGGTGGCTATATTACTGGTTGAAGATGCAACAGACTGTGCATTCGAAGGGATCACATTATATGTTCCGATCGAAGTGGACACATTAGTGCCTGTTGTATGTGGGGCATTTTGTTCCCCTTGTTGATTGTCAGAATTAGACATTTTGTCCAAACGTTTTCTTCTGGATAAAGGTTGGTTGCTGTTGGTTATTTTACCACTTCTCAGGTTCATAAAACAACAAACTTCTTAGGTTCCAACGTTTTTATAATGGTTATGTCTCAACAATCTTTATTTCTAATATCCAATTATTGGTCCCACCGGGTGTGCCAATTTGTTTCCAGTGATTTCTGGTAAATAACCGCTAGTCTTCCAAACTATCGAATAATCTTTCTGACTGTTATTCAATTCCTCTGGTAACTCACAGGATCGACTAGATTGATCCTAGGATTCCTTGGTCATTAGGGTAACTCTCATGATCGAACAGATATTCATGGTTGATATTTGAGTGTTGTATAGGTGTTTGACTTATTTCGATTTCTCTCTTAAAGGTCTAAAGATGTAATCAAAATGTGCGTGTACGAAACTAAGTTGCATGAATAAATGTTAATTGTAAAGACATGTAAAATTGCATAAAAGGTAAACAAATGGTTTCGAATTATAAAAACAGTTAATGTAAAGGATTTCTGGAACGTAAAAGGTTTGAAATATGAAGAAAGCGTTTAATGCAAGAAATCTGTAAATGACTTTAAGTAAAAATAGGCGTTCGAAGGATAAAGTTTGAAGGTAAAGGCATGGAAAATATGACAGTTTTCTGAAATGTAAAGTGCTTGAAATGTGAAGAAAGCATTGAAATGTAAAACTTTAATGAAGAGATTTCGAAGTGAAAAGACTGTAAATGAGAAAACTTATAAATGTTATTTGACAGAACGATAAAGGAAAGTGCTGGAAATGGTAAAAGGTTTTCATTAAATCATAAATATATGGTGCTATCATACGTACATTGCTCTTGCATTCGTTTCCCTTGCCATGTGGTAGTTTGAACGTTACTGAGTATTTAGTACAATAGATATGACACCCGAAATCCTAATACTAAGACTTCTATTTATACTAATTCGACCATAACGGTCTTGCTATAGGATTATGCCACGTTCGGAACATGCAGAACAATGCCTCTTTCTTCTTTCCACGTGTCTCCAAATGCTCCAGCACATAAATTTCAAACTTCGAATGTCCCGCTTCCATTTGAATTTCAAATGCTTTGGTATTTCTCCGTTTCGAACGCACTTCCCAGACACAGCCTTGTTGTTATTTCGAGACTTCTTTAGATATGTTCCCATAATTGCCACTCGAAGCTCCAGCTTTGACATGCTTATTCGAAACACTGCTTCTGCTACTTCGAAACATGACGCTTTACTTCATTTCGATCGAAACGTTTAATTTATTTGGCTTCTAATAATATTATCAAAATCTTCAGCCAACACCAGCTCGGCCTAGTCCAGAACAGGAGCCCCCCAAGTCGTGGTTCCTGGAGTAGGAGCCATGACTTGATCTTAGGTCTCCTCCGTCGCGGGGCCCCGTATCCGGGCAAGGGATGTAGTTCCCCGTGGTAACTCGAGGAGTTCCCCATGTGTCGGGCTCGTGAGATAATCCCTTTTGAGGAGTCCCCGAGGGATTTTCGACGGGCTGCGCTCGTTGGGCACACGAGGTATCTCTTGGGAGTCGTGCCGCAACCCTATTGTAGGTAGGGTCGTCATTGCCTAGGGGAGCTGTGCGTCGAGGAGGGAAGTCTGTGGTTCCCCGGGGTGACGTTTGGTATTCCACGTCATCACTATAAATAGGGTCTTTGGGCCCCATAACGTGTTTTCCCTCTTCGCGCTTCTCCTCTTCCCTCTGTTTCTGCTGTTGCTGTTCTTCCCAGATACTCATAGGACCACCGTGATCTTCGTCGCTGATTCCCTTTCTTTGTCGTCACATTTCCTTCTTGATTCCAAGTAAGTGTCTTGTCTCCTTTGTTTTTCCTCTGTGATGCATGATTTTCCATTGTTTTTAGACGCTTAGAGACTGTACGCCTGGGATTATCCCCGGTATATTCGTGTTTAGCTCGACAAATCCATGTTTATGCCTGGCGATCGCATGTTTGCGCCCGACAAATGCATAGTTTAGGTACTTAACTAGCAGTGCTTCCCGGGATCTTTATGATTCGGGGCGCCTAATTCTTGGTGATGCCCGGTGAACTCATGGCTCTAGTTTTGAGACGCATGATATCGCTCGCCACGTTCATAGTCTAGGTCGACATATTCGTGAGTGGTCGAGACGTTGACCCACTTAGGCGATCTGTAGGGAGACTTGTCGTGGTATCGGGGAGTCGGGGAGGTGACTTCTCTTTTTGTTCTGAGACGCCAACTCTTTTAGTCGCGCGTGGAGTGATATGGCTTGTCGCGCTCTTCATCCCGTCTGCTATGGCGAGCGTACGGATTTTCTCCCCAATTGATCGGTTTCCTATGCTTTGTAGGTAACTGTGATCGGTGGATCTGGAACTGACTGTTTAACGCTGGTTCGCGAAATGTCGCGGAAGCAAGAGTCGCCACCGTCTTTTATTTTCTCCAAATGGAAAGGACAAAAGCACAGAAAAATTCCTTATAGAGATTGCTCTCGGTTCGGGAGGTAGATTATAGAAAGGGAAGGTGTTAGCACCCTTTCTATCCATGGTTATCCATGGGCTCTTAGATACTTGCTCATTTGTGTTTTCAAAAAATGGTTTGTTTGCTTTTCAACTGTGGGTTTTAAAAAAGTTTCTTTGAAAATTTCAGTTCGACTCTTGTATCGGTCCTCAAGAGTGTTTGAAATATTGCTTTCGAAAGCTTTTTGAAAATGTGTTGGTGTGAAAAGTATTTTTGATTTGTTTTGAAATTAGAGCAAGTATCTAGAGTCGTCTACCTACCCTAAGGAATTCGTCTGTGTAAATGTCCTTTAAAGTAGTGCTATCCCACCATTGAGAGGTAGGTAGCACCACCGTTGGAGGTGTTCGGGTCAATTCGAGTTTTAGGGACATGGTGATCACCGGAGCAATGGGAAGACACCTTAGAAGCTACCCTCATGCCAGGTTCCCGGATCATGAGGACTTACTAAGACATCCTCTACTCGACGATCACCTTTCGAAAGGCAACAGTGAGGCGTACCCTAGGGGTGGTGTGTGCGGTTCGTGTGTCATGTTTCAGTTATTTGTCTTGTCATGTTTATTGTGATCTACGCTTGATTTTATTATGGCCATTCATTCTTTCATGCTTTTTGTAAACAGTTAAAATATTTGCGGGAAAATAAATCTAAACTATTACAAATGGCGCGGGTCCACATCGCCAAAATTAAACCGGACCCGATTTGACAGAAAATAAATAAAGCAAAGGAAATAGAAGTGCGAGAAGTTTAAGTTACAACGCTTTGGGAGAGTTACATAATTATAATAAACGACATAAAATAAATGCGCGAAATTAAATAAATTACGAACATGGGCGTTGGACCCTTTTGTAAAAAATTAAAGTTAATGAAGGATTGAAATTAAAATTTAAAAGAAAAATGTTTTTTTTAGATTTAATGGAAAAAAAGAATTAATTCAAATTAAAATAAAATGTCAAACCCTAATTCTAATTATTTTATTAAGAAAATATTGGAATTTTTAACTAAATGAAACCCTAATTTTTATGTACAATTTAATTATGAAAATAGATAAATAAATAATATTATAATAAAAGGAAAAATTAAAAAGGATAAAAATTAAGCCTAAATTCTATATTTTTTATATTTTATTATGAAAAGAATTAAGAGAAACCTAATTTAACTAATATTTAATTTACATGTTAATTTATTTATGAAAATAATTAAATTAAATATTTATTATATTTTTCATCTTTTCTGATTTTTATGAAGTTTTTATATTTTGTAAAAAAAGAAAATTAATTAATTTAACAAGAGAGCAAATAGAATAATAATTAAAATAAAACATAAAAATAAAATAGAATTTGCAAACCAGGGGGGGTGGAAGTCCCCAAAGTGGAGGTATAGGCCTTAGCAATCTGGCCCAATTGATTTTGGCCTTATTGACTTTTTTGAATCACATATGATGCATTGACTTAAGCCTACAGCGTTCCTCAATCTTCAGCCCTTAATTTGGTCTCCAGGAACACGTGGACAATTGGATCTTGAAGCGTATGGTGTATCTTGAATATTAGCGCTGCATAGGAAGACATATTGCAAAATAATATGGAATTTATACAGACCTGGGGCTCGAACCCAGGTCATATGCCTTGCCAATGCCTTCCCTGACCAGTTGTGCCAATTAACGCGCATTAACATTAAGCATTAAACAAATAATATAAGATAAGTAACGCATATAGATAAGATTTTAGCGCGAAATTCAAAAAGAACCAATCACTCCCTGACACGGTATCGTCTTCCTCGCGTGCCTGAAAGATAAAACATTGAGCAACGGTTTTAGACGCGTTGTCTTAAGCCAGCTACCAGAAAATAGCGAATAGGCCTGTGTAGCTCATAAATTAATCGCGACTAGTGCTTCTTGTTCGTTGGAGCATGCTGATTGCAATGGTGGTGACTTTGAGTCCTAATTTTTCCTTGGGTGAAAAACCCCAATTCAAGAACTCTGAAAACCCTAAAAATCAGTTATGGCATATTTGTATATAGTGCGTAAAAACGTAATTAAATCACATGGTAAGCATCAGAAAGCATCATTGAATAAGAATATGTAAATCAAATGTCATGGAAATGCCTTAAAATCAAGATGCGTGTATGCAATTTTGTGAGAAAATTTTGAGTTCTGTACAGCGATTCTTTGCCTTTTGATGAGTGTTATGAATTGGAATATGATCAGTGAACCACAAGGAAGCTTTTGGAATGGATTTCGTGCCTTGAATCCACCTAGAACACTGATTTCAGTTTTGAGTTTTATGGAAGAATTTTCAAGTTTTGCCAAGTGTTCTTGAGCGCAGCTTAGGGTCCTCTAGCATTAGGGTTTGATTCCTCTTTATGTATTGAAGCTATTAGGTCAAGAAAATTGAATAAAATCCATGGCCATAATGGTTTTCAATATTTGATTTCTTAAGGATCTTTTCCATATCTTTTCATGTGTATTTTGCTCTCAATCATGCCAA